AGGGCCCTGGCAGCACCAGCTCCCAAACGCGGAGCTTCCCGCTGCGCCCGTGGATGCCCACGGAGGGGCCCCGCTCTGCGGCCACCACGAGGTCCCTCCAACCATGCCCGTTACAGATGGTCCTGGCAAGGTGACAGTGTCAGTGCCTTGGCATTTCCAGCACTGGTTTGTCACCGCTCCCAGAGTCACAGGCAAGTGGATGGTGTTGGGGACACAGCAGTGGCCTTTGCCTTGGCTCACATGGAACCGCGGCAGGGTCTGAGCCCGCACGGGAGGATGGAGGAGGCTCTGCCCGGGCAGGAGTTCTGCTCCCGTGTCCCCACGCCGCCCCTGTGGGCTCTGGCCCGGAGGAGCAGGAGCATCCGGCCCGACACGGACCCACGAGCTCCCCGGGTACCGTGCGGGACGGGGCCGCATGCCAGGCAGGCGCCCTTGCTGCCAAGCAGGAGGATTCAGCATTCCCGCAGGTGCACAGCGAGCCCCGGTGCGAGCTCCCTGCATTCTCCATCCCGGCCCCTCGCACACGGAGCCGGGGCAGACACTGCTCAGGAGAGGTTCCATGGGCTCCCAGGCTGCTTTCCCTCATCTTCCTCACGTTTCATCCCGCATAAAATCTCCATTCTCTCCGCATGCTCCGTGCCCGGCCCCCCGCTCCTGTGTCCCAAGTTCCCGGGGTTGCGCTGCGTCACCCGTGGGCACGGAGGAGGCTTTGGCAGAGAACAAGCCTCAGTTTCGATAGTTCAGCTGTGGGAAAAATCAGTGCAATTCCCTAATTAAAGCAGCGTTGGGAACAAAGCGGCTCTGTTGGGGGCTGAGCTGGGGAATGTGACCTTCGCTGGCGGCGCGGGCCGCAGCTCGCCGGGGCCGGCCGTGCTTGGCAGCGGCCAAAGCTCCGCGTGGCCCTGGGGGGAGCCAGCCTCTCCCCTTGCAGGGGGAGCCAGACCTGCTTCCAAAGTGATTTCCATTCTGGAATGAGCCTTGGGAAATCATCCTTGTCCCCAGGTTACCTGTTTTTGCTATTTTGCCCCAAACGTAGCTTCCCGACCGCAGGTGGAACTTGCTGGTTTGGTCTCGCTGCCCCGCAGAGCTGTCACTGCAGCGACCCGCTGCCTCGAGCTGCCATGTGGCCCCTGTGGCCTCCAGCACCTCCGAGCCTGGCTCCGCTGATCGTTTTCCATGTTGGGCTGCGCTCCCCACACCGTAACAGGGTCTGGAGAAGGGAATAAGTGACACTGGGCAGGGAGAAGCCCGGGCAGGAGGAGCTGGTTCTGCCCTGCAGCCTCCTCCAGCTGAACCCCCGTGAGCAGCCGGTGCAGGAGCGGTCGGTCCCTCACGCAGGGCAGAGGCTGCAGGACGGGGCCGCGGGTGGGGGGACACAGGGGGTCCCGTCCCTGCAGATCCCACCGGACGCCGCACCAGGAGACGCTGTCCCTGCAAGTCCCCTCATTCAGGAACACGATGCAAAATCCCACCGTGCCGGCTGTGCCCATCATGTCCCCGCGCCCCCAGACCAGGGCTCGTCCCTCCGACCACCCCAGCACATTCCTGGAGCCATCCCACGCCCTGCCTCCGCTCCAGCTTCCCGGCCGCATTCCAACATTCCCGCCACCCACGGGCTTTGTTTTCCTGCCTGCTCCGTAACCTGCAGCATCTCCGGCTCCTTGGGAGCCTCGCGGGAGCAGAGGCCCCTTGGCCTGGCAGCTGCTGCCCCTCAGGGTGGCCAGGGGCTGCAGGTGACACCGGTCCCTTCCCCCAGGGGCAGGAGGGATGCGGGGGCAGCCCAGGCTGGGCTTGCAGCTCTCTTCCTGATGTGGACTTGGGATGCGATGGATACAGGCGGAAAGGCTGTCCCAGCCCCCACAAACCAACCTCTGGCTCCCGCCTCTGCTCCCTTGAAGGGAAACGGAGCGGATCCTGCAGCCTGCGGTGTCCGCACGCGTCCGTGCGTCCTGCTGGCGCGTCCCTCCGCTGCCCACAGCATCCCCGCTCTGCCGCTGTTCTTCACCGTTCGCAAACCTGGTGACGAGCACCGACCCTGGCAGGAGCTCCCCGTCCAGCTGCATCCAAAGGAAAGGCCGCTGGGGCTGAAGCTGGTGCCCACACTCATCATCCTCATCAGGAGCAGCGCACTGTGCCCCCAGCCCCGCTCCGGTGTGCAGAATAGTCCCTGTTGAGAGCTGCCATGTTACGTTAACGAGCAAAACAGCTCCTGGTACGGAAATACCTGAAACGGGGCCGTTCAGAGTGGGGAGACTTGTTGCAATGAGCCGGGGGAGAAGCCGCTCCTGCTGCAGGACAAGCTGCTCCTCCACTCCGAGCCTCAGTTTCTCCTTGGACCCACTGGGCGCTTGGAGCTCCTCATGGGGCACGGTGAGAGCTCAGAGCTGCTCCCACGGCTCCTCCAGACCACGCGGGAGCCAGTGCAGCAGCTTCTGCCCCATAAACGGGAGCCCGAAGCGCTCGTCCTTGGCTAACCCGCGCGTGCGGCTGCTGCTCCCTCTCCTCTCCTTGAGGCTGAGGGCTGGGGACACG